TAGAAGCTTCAGAAGTCCAAAATGAGATAATTAATACAATCTGGAGCCTTGCAAGAATTATTCATAACTCAACATGATCATATTCAAATATACTCTCCTACTCCCTTATATAGGTGTTTACACGCTCACTACTGAATAATTATATAGGAAGGCTGGGGAACATCAACCCTTGCAATTGGATGTATCCGTAATATGCTCCAGTTGTGTGCAGAAATTAAAGTGATTAAGCTCCAATAAGCAATGTGTATCTAATTAATTCTAACTGGCACCAGGGCTCAAGTACAGTATTGTATAAGCACTTGCCTACGAGCAGCTGTTCAGTTCAAAAAAATGTTATAAGCACTGTTCACATACACACACACTTTAATTAGGGTGTTCAGATTTGACTTTTCTACTAAATGGTATATACATATACACACAGACCTAAAGATTTTTTTTTTTTTAAAGATACTTTGCACATTGGCCTGTGGCCAACATATGGGTTAACATATGGTTTAAAATATAAATTAGATTAATTCAAATTTACATATTTGCTTGCAATTGGTCTACCACAAGATATGGTTTTCTTATATTATAATGGAAATTTTTAAATAAATAATAGTTTAAGCCCATACCGATTTCAGTGTTAATCCCTTACCTTTTTTCCAGCGCCGGGCGCTGGGACTCTCCTCCCTCTTCTTCCGTGCGGCATTTATCAATGCTTTCCTATAGACGCTGACGTCTTCTCACTGTGAAAATCACAGCGAGAAGCGCCTCTAGCGGCTGTCAATGAGACAGCCACTAGAGGCTGGATTAACCCATAGGTAAACATAGCAGTTTCTCAGAAACTGCTATGTTTACTGCAAAAAGGGTTAACCCTAGCTGGACCAGGCACCCAGACCACTTCATTAAGCTGAAGTGGTCTGGGTGCCTATAGTGGTCTTTTAAACGTGAAGTTCACTTTGAATGCTCACATTGTTAATAAACCCTAACAGATTGACAGACACATTTATAAAAACAAAAAAAACAACATAGAACAGCAGATACAAGTCTATTTATACAATCTAAGTCACTTATATTCTCCATCATTCTTCACACATGTTGTAGACTCCAGTCCACATAACACTTAGCCAGCCATGGTGAATATCATAAAAAATAAAAAAAACAAAACTGTAGTGCACCTAGGGCCATTAGCTCAACCTTGTTCCACATACTACTAACAGAGGAGACCCCCTTCCACAGAGCTGCCCTGATGGTAGCATAGCAGGAAGCATGGTATAAAACAGGCATAGGCAACCTTTCGGCACTCCAGATGTTGTGGACTACATCCCCCATAATGCTCTCACACCCATTGCTGGCAAAGCATCATAGGAGGTGTAGTCCAAAACATCTGGAGTGCTGAAGGTTGCCTATGTCTGGTATAAAAGAAGAATCTTGCAGCATGTGAATGCTTCATACAGTATAGGGCAGTGGTATCCATGCTGGATATGAGAGCCCAGCTGCAGTAGTACAGGTTAGCCATTACAATATATATTAGATAGATATATATAGAGATAGATATAATGCTATATAATGTATCCCAGGCCAGGTATAAACCATATACACACAGCTGGGAGACCCTGAGCATGCATGGCACACAGACACTTTATACACACTAACACCCCGCTTAACACACACTCACCAGCTTCCTTCTACTGCCGGCCGGAAGTGACGCAGAGCATCGAAGCACCGCCCACTGTGGGCAAGGGGAGGCTTATTTTGCCCGGACGGTGACGTCAGCACAAACCCGTTCTTCGCTTACACTCCGTCACGAATACAAAACGGAGGAAAAAGGCTATATACCCCGACACCTGTTTTTTGTTGTTTTATATATATATATATCCCTCCGCAAAAAAAAGAGCGCTAAGCAATAGAGACGGAAGCTTCAACGGTGATGATTCTACCTCGCGGCAGAGGGCAAAGTTCGAAATGCAGCGGCGAGGTTCGAACGTCGGCTCTAGTGCTTCGAACTCGGATGAGACACGCCCCCTCCTCCCTTTACCTTGCTGACAGGAATGGCACAGATCTGTCAGTTACCTGGCGGCCGATATGACGTCACATACTTTAAAAATAAACTTTATTGATGGATTTTTTTTTTTTTTTCCTAACCATGTATTTCTGTTATATGGAAGAGTAAATAAATTGTGCTAAAAAAATAAATAAAAATAAAAGGGGTGGGGTAAAATAGTACTTTAATTAAAAATAAATCAAGTAATTTCTTAATTGTTACACATTTATTTAAACTTCAGACCAGGAGGAGGCTGAGATTTCTCTGCCAAGTCCAGTCCTCCATGGCTTTCAATGTGGCCCCCTGGCTGTTACTGGACTGAACTAGACTGTGATTTCACTCCAAGCACCATAACCACTACAGTGCCCTGGCTCCCTCCGCTTCCCACGTAAGAGGTTTGACTCTTACTTGAGCTCCACTGGGCTCGGCTCCCCGCCTCCACTACAGCCTACAGGACACTCACAGCTAAGCTTAGCGATATCAGCTTGACAAACGCCTCTGTGAAGGCGGAAACGTTGCACATTCAGTTTTCAATAAATCTGTCTTTTTGAAGAAACCTTGAGTGCGTTGACCTACTTTCTACTAATATCTAGAGATATCAGCTGACCAAGGAGAGCTAACGAAGCTCCCAGCTTGGCAGCCGAGAAGTGGTGGGGACTGGTCCTCGGTGGACCCCTGCTAAGAAATCAGTTATAAAAGTACTTACAACACAGGGACGCCAGGGCACTAATGGCACCATAACCACTTACAGCATGCTATAGTGGTTATGTTGCTTGGAGTGTTCCTTTACTATACATTTAAATTTAAAAAAAAAAAGGGTCACGGGCAATTCGTATTTTATTTAATTTTCAGACACAAGTTACTTTGGTCTATATTGATAGATGTAAACTGAATCCGTCTATATGAGAATAACGTATGTGTGCTTTAGTAGGAATTTCATGCAATACATCTCAAGTAAAGCATGGTAGTGTTGTGCACAGCGATGATGTAGCACAGTCTTATTGGGATGGTGCACCGCAGCCACTGAATCTCAGTCAATACAGGCTGAACAGGGTACAAGAAACTCTATTGCAAAATAATCACTTTATTGGAGAATACTGTAGGTATTACATAGCTGAAAAGAGACTTGTGTCCATCAAATTCAGCCTTCCTCACATATGTTTTTGCTGTTGATCCAAAAGAAGGCAAAAAACCTAATCTGAAGCGCTTCCAATTCCTTCTTGACCCCAAAATAGAAAAAATTCCTTCTTGACCCCAAAATAGCAGTCAGATGTCTCCTTGGATGAAGCAGCTATTACCCCACTAATTAGAAAATTATCAATACATAAGTGTTTATGGTGCCGGGAGTCCACATTTACTGGGTCCCACCTCACCATTTCATAGAGTTTATTGGTCTTGGCAGCCTGATGTCCAGACTCTGCATCACTCTATACCAGGGATAGCGGTCAGTGATCAGCTATGAGCATCAGCTGAGCGCTCTCAATTAATCACTGCCTCGATCCCTAACATGATCTGGAATGTCAAAGGCCAGGTGCGTAACTCTGCTTCCGCCATATCGTTACTGGAGGCCAACCTCCGATAATCTGTACTAAATGGTACAGTAAACTATTTAGCAGTAAAGTGGCGCCTGAGGACTCCAAACACCATGAGCACTTTGGTCCAATTAAGTAGTTATGGTGCATACAGCGTTCCTTTAACCCCTTAAGGACCAAACTTCTGGAATAAAAGGTAATCATGGTATGTCACACGTGTCATGTGTCCTTAAGGGGTTAATGCAAAGAAGTCCTTAAATGGATAACTAATTTTGGATGTAGCAGTCCCAGTCATGTACGCAGAATCCTCAATAACTGGAAGTTGTTATGGTCCTTAGACTTACTCGTAAAATTAAAAAGTCCTAATTTCCTTCAAAAATATAAATTTACATATCTTACCAAATGTACATAACCAAGGTGTATGGAGCTAAATCAGATCACAGCTATTTACTATAAGAGAAACAGTGACTTCAAAAGTGGATTCAATTTAATTTTATTAACAAAGCAAATATATAAGACGACAATCTACAAAAAGTCTCAATGAGCTTTGTCTGCTTCATGGACCAATACAATCTAAGTCACAGTTTAATCAACAAGTAGAATGAGTGGCTCAAGTCAATATATGGCTTCAAACAGTACCCGTGGGAAAGGAGATCCACAAGAAATTAAAGGGTCTCGGTCATAATCAAGATGACAAAATCCCCTTTATTAGTGCAGTTAATTCCATCTATACATAGTGCCAGAAAACAGTTTGAATTAAAAGTCATTTTATCAACGTACGTCTAGAACACAGCTCTGTGATGTCTGTGGGAAAATCGATGCGATTAGCACCCAAATGACATGGACAAATGCAATGCCAGTTACATGGTGGCAAGCAGCTGTGTGTTGTATTTTATGCGCACGCATGCATTCTCACACACATAGCACCTGTCATCTTAACTGGACTAAGCTGTTATACGTAGAGATTGCAGCATAAAACTATTTTGTAAACTAAAGAAAAGACAAGGAAAAAGCAGGAAAAGTGCCTGATGGGTGAGTGCATAATATATATATATATATATATGAGCCAAACCACCAAAACAACAGCACTATATGAAGAAATTTACTATGCAGTCATGGTACCAGTTGAGAACTTCATCATGTAAACAAGCTGTGAAAGCCGTATCCAAACTCGGCCCACCTATTTTGATGGACTACATCAAATACTTCACCTACAATACAATTCTAGGAAACGTAACAGCGGGAATGCCTTTGTTAAACATTTTTTATGATTTATCCAGTTTAAAAAAAAAATAAAAATAAAAAAATCACATAGAAAAAGGTTTGCATAGCAGATACAGCTGGCTCTATCCAAAGAAATAGATTTATTTTATTTATTTTTTAATTACATTTTCTTTTTCTTCTTGGCGAAATAATAAATGGTATTTGAATCTTCTTTCCCATTAAATCTTTAAAATTACAATTTGGAATTTGCCTGCAAAAATTAAGAACAATTCATTTAGTTACATCAGATGTGGATTAGATGGTTACAGAATTGTCAAAAAACTGATTCTAAGATTAAGTTCCTGAGTGACAGAATTATTATTTATACAGCGACAACAAATTCTGCAGCGCTGTACAATGGGTGGACTAACAAACATGTTATTGTAACCAGACGAGTTGGACTCACAGAAACAGAAGGGTTGAGGGCCCTGCTCAATGAGCTTTCATACTAGGGGTAGAAAAGTAGGTTGCTAGGATAGTGTTCACTGAGGGCTTAGGAGGCTTGCAGAAGTGGAATCACAGTGCAGGGAGGTGGGAGTGGGGTTATTAACAGTTTAATTGATATGCTTTACTGTAGAAGTGAGTTTTGGGGAGGATAGATAGATCGGAGCAGCATTATGTAGAACAAGCATGTCAAACTTGCGCCCCACAATAAATATAATTGCGGCCCACGTGCCCTGGGGCCACTTTGTGTTGTGGCTGCGACCAACCACCTTGCCTTCCCTCCTACGGCTGATTGCGTGCTCCCGCAGGCCAGCCACTCCCCCTTCCCTTCTGCTCGCAGTGCCAGAGGAGTTTCTGGCCTACTTGAACAGAGCAGGGCTGGAACTGGAGGACGGGCGGCTCATCTTAAGGTAGGGGAAGAGGGGCTTGGGGGACCTTCCTGTGTAGTGTGTTAAATTAGGGGGGAGGGGGGAAGCGGTGTATTAATCTGAGGGAGGGAGAGGGCAGTGTATTAATTTGGGGGAGGTTGGGGGAGTGTATAAAATTATGGGAGGGAAAGGGGAAGTGTATTAGAGTGGTTGGAGGTGGAGCAGTGTGTTAAATTGGGGGTAGGGCTGGGTATTAATTTTGCAGGGAGGGAGGGGGTAGTGTATTAGAGTGGTGGGGGGAGTGTATTAGAGTAGTGGGAGGTGGGTCAGTGTGTTAAATTTGGGGTGGGCAGTGCATTAAATTGGGAAGGGAGGAGGCAGTGTATTAGATTCAGGGGTAGTGTATTATAGTGTAAAGGGGGCAGTGTATTGGATTTGGGGGCAATGTATTAGAATGGGGGGAGAGGGCAGTGTATTAAATTAGGTCTGCATGGAGGCGCTGAACGCTCCCTGTGGAGATGCTGATTGGCCACGCAGCTTTTTGTCACACATGCACAATAGCTTCCCAATGCTTTCCTAATGGGAAAGCATTGGATTGGCTGAGATCATCAAGATTGATGATCTCAGCCAAAGTGAAGAACATACCCATAGAACTTTAAAATCAACAAGATAATGTTTATTTGACAGGTGTGCAACAGCATACATTCACCATTTCAGTCCCATTATCAAACTTTTCTTAATATGTCAAGGTAGTTGGACTGAAACATTGGTTATACGCAAAAGCATGTCTCCTTAAAATAAACTTGCTCTTTTGTTTACTTTGAAGCCCTATGAGTGTGAGGACATCCAGTGTCAGGCAACTTTTTTTATACTGTACTTTTCTAAATAAACCTTTTCTATGAAAACTGAAGTTTCTGTTTTTTTGCAGCCCACATGAACTTAAACCTTGTTTATTCGGTTCGTGTTAGCCTTTGAGTTTGACATGCTTGATGTAGAGGTTTGTAAGCAAGAACCAACATTTTAAATTGAGCCCTATATCACACAGGAAGCCAATGCAGGGATTGACAGATGGGTGAGGCGTGGGAGAAATGATCAGAGAATTACTCAGATCATCTGACACCTGAGAAAAACAGAATAAAAGTCAAACCCTGGTTAATCAGCTGCTACAAATGCATCGTGGGAATATATATATTATGGGAAAATATATATATAACTATAGTCTATTAGTTAATCCACCAAGAAATTGTAATACTTACAGGTAGGCATTATAGGGACCTCTGCAGAAACTGTACTACTCACGCCCATATTGGAAAGTGCTCCTTTAATAAGTCCACATGTGTACGCTAGGAACTGCAAGAACAAGAAAAAGACAGCGATCATGAGAATGAAGTGGTTAATGAGAAGTTTAAAAACTAAATTCAGTTTGCATTATACACTAATCCACAACATTAAAACCACCTGCTTAATAACATGCAGATACCCCAAGACATTAGCAGCAGATCCTTTAAGTCCTGCTGTAAGGTGCGGCCTCAATAGATCGGATTTGATGTTCAATTGGATTGAGATCTGCGGAATTTGGAGGCCAAGTTTGGCAGGGTGCGTTATTCTGCTGAAAGAGGCCACTACCATCAAGGAACATCATTGCTATAAAGGGGTGTACGTGGTCTGCAACAATCTCTAGGTAGGTGGTACGTGCCAAAGTTTTCCCGGCACAACATTGTCCAGAGCAGAACATTACCTCTGCCGACCTGCCTTCTTCCCATAGTGCACCCTACTGCCATCTCTTTCCCAGGTAAACAATGCACACCCACGTCTTAAATCAAGTTCTCAAATGAAACAAAAGATAAAACAATATATAGACACATGGGTGCTTTTACCCACAGTTAGGTTGGGGAAGGCTCTTTTTAAGGTGAGCAGTTCTCTGCCTCCTGGTCTATCAAGTTTACCATCCGACATATTGAATTATATATCTCTACTTTATCCTTTGAGCTATTTGGTTGGAAGATTGAAGAGGGAGAGAGTGTCAACTTAGCACACATTAATCCAAGCGATTTGAGCCTGTCTTTATAAGGCTCTGTTCTGCGTGGGTGTATCCTATTTATTTCTCTGCATTCTTTACGATTTTTACAACACTGCACTATATTCAGTTTTATTTTTTGTTTCATTTGAGCACTTGATACAAGACATCCCCTATCATTCAAAGGGGTATGTTTATTTGTCATAAATATAGCACTCTACTTAATTCAGTGGTGTTGGCCTTGGTTCTTGTGTATGACAGTTTGTAAAGATGGGAAGGAACTTTCCAAAGCATAGTAGCAGCTTTTCATCTATATTTTTTTATTTAAGAGCCTATTTATCACAGATCACTTTTCGATTTATTTACCAATTGCTGCACACCGGGAACACCCCATAAGACTTGCCGTTTTGGAAATATTTTGACGTTGTTGTCTAGCCATCACTATTCGGCCCTTGTCAAAGTCATTCAGATATTTTCTAACTCTGGCTTGACTCATGTTATACAATTTAGTGTTTCTTCCCTTCATACTATTAAAATTTCATATTTTAAAACTATTTCCCATTACCTGGTCTCCTGCTGAAAGGATCAATCATATATCCAGTGGATTTTGTAATTGTCATGACAATTAAGGAAAAGTTATAATGTTTATAAGTAGTGATGTCCCGAACGGTTCGACGCGGACTCATCATTGAGTAAACTTTGACCCTGTACCTCACAGTCAGCAGACACATTCCAGCCAATCAGCAGCAGACCCTCCCTCCCAGACCCTACCACCTTCTGGACAGCTCACTAAGAATGCAGCTTCAAAATGGATGCTGTCCAGGAGGTGGGAGGGTCTGCTGCTGATTGGCTGGAATGTGTCTGCTGACTGTGAGGTACAGGGTCAAAGTTTACTCAATGATGAGTCCGCAGCGCACCGTACGCGAACCGTTCGGGACATCACTATTTATAAGGCATCATAACAATTACACTTCTAATTGTATTTACCTTGGGAGCTTCTTCTAAATATTGCTTACTGCAAGAAATCTGTGTCAAAAGCTGAAACTTGTTGTCTTGTAACACATAGGTACCCTATAAAGAGAAACACAAACAATAACAAATAAAGACAAAAGATCAATCAACAAAGATAAGATCAGAGTGGCAGATTTATAAGCATACTAAGTCACAGTAAGAGGTAGGAATAGGTAAGTAGTTATCTCACAGGATGGTTGGCATTTTAATGGGATTGCAATGGTTGGTCCCATCTAGTTAGCCAACATGTGTAATAACATAAATTAAGTCAATATAAGAAGGAACCACTGTCAAACTGTAGACCAAAATTTTTGAACAGGTTACATTAGGTGAAAACGGAGACAAGGAAATCTGGAAGAACTATTATCCAAGATGTTGCCAGTCACATAGCAAACCAGTAATGTTTTATCTAAAGACTGGAGAATATAACATAATGCAGAAATCTTTTCTCCAGAAACATTAAACTGCCATGACTATATTGCTGGACAATATGCGTACCAAGGTTGCATAGCAACATGCTGTCACATGATTACTTATCGGTATGCCCTTTTAATTCACTGTTGTGTTTCATACGCAGTGCTGCACTTATCCTCTCTGAACTTGACAAAGGGCTGCATATAGGTTGAAATGTTGATAACTTTGGACCTCAATAAACTGGGGTGTTTTCCACTGCTGTTTTTTTCTGGGTGATCCTACATTGGCCAACGACTTGCAAAGATTTATGAAAAATTAAAGGGACACTCCAACACTAATGCAACTTTAATGCATTGGGCAGATTTTAGCCTTATTAATATTATGTATTTTTTGCATGCTCAAAATCTTTATAGTTTTTGCACACAAAAAAATGTTTTGCAGAATTCTGCAGCATAAGCCTGCCTCCTTAGCCATGCCTCCTCATGCTATAAAGACTTCCTTGTGAAAAATATGCACACAGTCTTAGCCTTAACAGCACTGGGTGAGTGGCTTTTAATTAACAACCTATAAACAGTTATATGTCTTCCCTGATTATCCTCTCCTTCTAAGGTAAAATATTACTATATGAAATAATGGAGCTACGAAATCTCTACTAGGTCTTATTATGTTAAAGGACAAATAATCTGTGATTCTCCTCCCCCTCCCATACATACCTGATGATTTGTTCTTAGATTGTCAATCTGTTTCTTGAAGACAACTGTCCAAAAATCCTTACAAACAAATTTAACAACATCTAGATCATCTTTGAATGACGGGCTGTCCTTTGTCAACCTTAGGTAAAACAACGTGAATTAGCTTGTGAACAGAATAACAGACTCCCAGTTATCTTTTCTGTCAATTTAGGAAATAATAATAATCAAACTCATTACAAGGTAAATGGAGCTAGATCTTGTGATATCCAGTTAAAAGAGTTTTTAAATCAGTCATTTGTCACAATGAACAACAGAATCACGCTGCCAAAAACATTTGTTTTCTAGCGAAAGTAACTGGATCACTACAGACATTTATGAACTATATTTCAATGCCTTTGCTTTGCTCGCTAAGAATCTACAGAAAATGTTGGATCGGGGAATTGTTGGTGCTCTAATAATAATAACAATAATAATATTCTTACCTTTCAGTAAGCCCTTGACCAACACGAAATCCCATCGACTCTAGAATACGTATATGCTTCCCTTGATCCTACACATTTTTACAACAAACAAATAACATTATACACATTTTAGTGTAAAACAAAATCAGATATGATAAGCAGTTTTGTGGATGTGACGTTATAGTTGGAAGAATTACTAAATAAGTAGCTGCAAAGCCCAAACGTAAAGATATATATAACCACGTTGGAGATCTTTTCGCCATTTTCCAAAAATATCCCTGATGATTGCTTGTAATTAAATAACATGCATTGATTATATCCCATTAGACAATTCCCATCTCACCTCATCGTCCAGACCCGCACTCTTCTGCGCATGGGAAACGATCTCCGTGTGTAAAAGGGCAAACAAGGTTTCATCTGCCATGTTTAAGACAGTAGTCAGTTACCTAGTTGCCCCTTACTGTCTGCAAGTATTAAAGTGACAGTAACATGTGTGATGGTAGTTTGTCTAATTGTCCTTCCTTCTCCTAATAAAGCTCCAAATCTTGATGCTGCACTTTAAACTGTTATCATATTGGCAATTCCCAGAGGTTCCCCGCTGTTTAGTTAATGTTTCTATTCCTCTTTAACTGACACCCTGATCCCATCCCACCTGACACTGTTACCTACTTCCTGGTTGCCCCACTTCCGTCCTGTTCCAGACACGTGATAGTAAGGATGCAGCAACTTCCGGTCTCTCATACACCATACACTTTACTAAACTCGACATGTTAATGATATCGTTGTGTTAATCTGGGGTAAAGTCATTTTTTTTCGGCGAACCCGAACTGTGTTTTATTTTGCTCGTCTTGTAAATGTAGCGCTTTGACTCTGTCACCTGACGTTGCCCCACTTCCGGCAGGACTTGTCCATTGGAAGAACGCCCCACTTCCGGTCACGACAGTGTTTTGGATGCCTGCAATGTTTGTACTGTCTGCTTGGGGCCGAAATTCACATATGTGAGGTGAGCTTCCTGATATTTGTTTGTGCTCTTTATTTTGCCTTCCTAAAAAAAACTTATTGGGCACATAATGCAGGATTAATTCCCCATAGTAGGATATTGAAATCCAGTTTGCAGAATTTATAAACAGCCAAGCTGTGGTTATAGTCTACTTTTATCATTTATTTATGCCCAGATCTTGCATTTCAGATTATAACAATGTGTTGTTTAGTTAATAACCATGAATCCAGTAGCGTTCTAACCTTCTCTCTTTTTTTTTTAATTTTTTTAATTTTAATGTTTTTTTATTTTTTTTATTCCTAATGCCCTTCTTTTCTAGGAGCTCCCTATTGTTGGTGTGTCTGAGTGCATAACCGAGCTCAACAGCAATTATACACCCAGTAAAGTGTCTTTAAATTACAATAAATGTATTTAGAAATCAGTCTGTGGAAATAGGATACATTGTTATTGTTCTAAATCTAGGTCAGGGGACAAAAAACATTTTTTGTTATCTAGGAGCCAACTAAAAAAAGTTAGGAGACACTTTTTTTTTGCGCTAGAAAAGTTAAATTTTCAACAAGAAAAATGCAATTCTTACAGGGACACTATAGTCACCAGAACCACTACAGCTTTATGCAGTTGTTCTGGTGTGTGTATAGCCTATCTCTGCAGGCTTTTCAATGTCCTGGGTCAGTGCTGCACAGTGTGCAGCATCTACGTTTAGCGTCTCCATGGAGGCGCTGAATGTTCCCCATAGAGATGCATTGACTCAAGGAGGAGATGCTGATTGGCACAGCACAGTGTTTTGCTGTGCATGCACAATATCCTCCCAATACTTTCCTTTGGGAAATCATTGGCTTACCTGAGATCATAAAGATTGATGATCTCATCTTGAAAGATGAGTAAAAACACCTTTCTCTTGCAAATGGAAGTGGCAGGTACCTAAACTGACAGACACATATGAACATTTTTTCACAGACTCACAAATTGACATTTTTATTTTTTATTTAAATCTACCCAGCCTCCGTACCTTTGGGAGCGCTGAGTGGATCTTTCCCTCGGGTCCAGTGTGCTGCTTTCCAATCTTTCTGTAGTTCCTCTCTGCTCCCCTGCGCGTTCTGCAGTGATGCCCAGATTGGAGTGATGTCATATTCCGGCTCCCGGTAACAATATACAGTGCACAAGGGGGAACTGCATGAAGATCGCTGCTCCCTTGCTTGCCGTTTCCATGCTGCCTCAGTCGGCTGTCTCCATGCTACTTAGGGTGGCCGGGCGGCTGTATTTGGTAAAAGGCATACAAATCTTAGGCGCCAGGGCGAAATTTATAGTCGAGCTGGTGACTGGGATTTGTATAGTCTGATTTAGGTACATAAATTGTCATTAGTAAGTTACCTAAAACTTTGCGGAACAGCCCTGCACATGGAAGCACTCACACCCCTCAAATTAAAGTGGCCTTCTATCCATTTGAGATGTTTGGAGGTATGCAGAATTATGTTCCCAAGATGCACATTTCTTTTTCTTCAATGAGTGACCTGGCAACGTTTCCAATCTAAACAGTGTCTTTGTCAAGCCTTGAAGCTTGATAAATACATTAACATGGGTTTTTGATAAAGTATGAATTCAAAGGAAGGCCAGAGTATCTGAACTGAAAGCATTACTATCATAGAGATTATGTCAATGTTTGGCTATCTTGACTTCAAATGTAAAATTCACATTAAATTCTCACTTTAGTGAATAATTCTGTCAGGTCATTATTGCTACACTATTGAAGCGGTGACTAGAGCTGAATTGGATATATTGTTTCAGTATACTATAAATCAGTGTTTAGTAAATAAGCCACAGAGTCCTTGAGGACCACATTGCTATAGAAAAAAAGGAATAGTCTCGGCACATGTCAATGGTTATGGTGCCATTCCCATTTTGACCTCAGACCTACCTCCTCACACCAGAATTGTTTATGCAGAACTGGATCCTTTTCATTAGCGTATCAATTTCATCCCTATTTTGATGTTATTTATTGCCTTAGTGAGTATCTGTACATTTGTCTTGTGCAATGTATGAATATAATTATATATCTTCTCTTTTTTTGACAGTTCTATTAACCATATATTTATTTATTTGAAAAACGATAACATTGTCATTAATAAAAAATTTTTAAAAATTGTCATAATTTGTTTAATTTTATTGCATGCGAGCAGATGTCTTTTCACGGTTACCAAACTGTTGTCAAGGGAGAAGCATCTGAGACCGATGATGAAGAAGAGATGTACGTGACATCGGTTGCAGCTGGGCCATTCTCTAGCCCTCATGGAGTAAAAGTCCAGGGAGAAGCCTCTGAGACAGACGAGGAGGAGGAGGATTCTGATGACACTCTGAAAACACCTTCCAAAGTGTTGGAGAAGAACCTTCCTCCATTAGTGGTCATTAGGAATGAAGGAGAACATTCTCCAGTTGGCATAGAAGAGAAACCCATTGTCAACATTCAACAGCAAGGCCGTTACAGCACATTGCTGCAGCAAAAACTTCTTGAGAGTAATGCTCGTCTTTACCATGATATCAACAACACCGTCAGACATGTCTATCATACAACGACCAGTGAGATTCGGACATTGACAAGCCAACTGAGTAATTCTCAAAATGGTATTATAAATGCATCTCACAGCATCCGACTGGCCCTTGAAGATTTAAAAGGCGTTTCTGAGAAGATTGACATAATCACCAGCTGTAACTTGCTTCCTGATATCCATATCTAGGCTGTTAAGGTGTAGTTTTTGGTTGCCCAGATTGCCTTCTCCAACCCATGAGATGTGATGGATCTTTAAAGTTTTCAGGAGAATAAATATTTATATGGAGGGCTTGAAACCTTTGTCACCATGATTTATTGAAAACAAACTCTAGTCTAAAGTATTTACTTTAACCCCTTAAGGGCCAAACTTCTGGAATAAAAAGGAATCATGACATGTCACACGTCATGTGTCCTTAAGGGGTTAAAGGGACTCTCCAGTGCCAGCAAAACAAACTGTTTTCCTGGCACTGCAGGTCCCCTCTCCCTCCCACCCCTCCATTCCCCATCCCATGTTGCTGAAGGGGTTAAAACCCTATTTAGTGACTTACCTGTATCTAGCGCCGATGTCCCTCGGCGCTGGGTCAGGGTCAGTCCACGCTCCTCCCCGCCGACGTCATCCGGCGGGGGAGACCTATTGAGCATGCACAGCTGGCAGCGGGTGAGACCTTATGCGCATGCACGGCCACTAGAGGAGGACTTAACCCTTCAAGGTAAATATTGCAGTTTATGAAAACTGCAATAATTACACTTGCAGGGTTAAGGGTAGTGGGAGTTGGCACCCAGACCACTCCAATGGGCAGAAGTGGTCTGGGTGCCTGGAGTGTCCCTTTAAATAAAATACCATTTGTATGTCTTGGCTTTTATAGTTTATTCCTCTCTGTGCTCCTTTACATGACTTCCGAAATGATGGTAAGTACATTCTTTATACATTTGTCTTCACTTTTTGTCAGAAGACCTTTCACAATAAATCTAAGTTTCTGTTAAAGAAACACCACTATAACAATTTCAGCTCACTAAAGTAGTAGTTGATATGAGGGTAGGAGTGTCAGGGCATTGTGTTACCTTCAGGAGTTAAAAGAAGCACTCCAGGCACCAAAACAACTTTAAATAAAGTGGTTGTGGTGCCAGGAGGCCCCGAGCCATCTTTGAATGGTTTAACCCTGAAGTTGCCTCTAGCACCAATCTCAACTTCCCCTGGCTGCTGAAAGATCTGTTTCTGGAAGCACGAAGTGCTGCCGAGCAGGGAACACGCTAATCGGAAAGACTCAAGCCAGTTTTGTGAATAGGGGAGTCACTGACTGGAAAGGAGGGAAGACGTTAGGAAAGAGGTGTCTCATATTTTGACTTGCACTTTACCTCATGCTTTGCTTTCTTTTTCTCATTTGTCTTCTATTTTACTACCTTGTATTACCCATATGGGGAAACCCTGGCTCGGAGGAGCTCTATACCATGCACCTCGATGCATTGTTTAAATCCAATATTATCACCCACTGTTACCACCATTGGTTAGGGGACCTAACACAGTTGTGAGTTGTGCCCAGCAGCTTGATAGAAGAAAGGCCACGTACCCTGCTATTCAGCAATAATTTTAATTTGCATTAGTCCTTATCTTGTTTATGTAGGGCCCACTGGTTCGTAAAATTAAACTACTCTTGATATCAAAAATGTAAAAAGAGGATCGAACGCATGGCTTTTTTTTTTTTTTTTTTTTTTTGCATCACTACGTGTGACTCCTTGTGCTACCACTGAAACTCTATATTGTATATCACCTGATGTAAAAATAAAGTTAAAGAAAAGAAGGTGTCCAGCACTCCGGTACCAATTTTGTTGTTAAAGGAACACTATAGTCACCTAAATTACTTTAGCTAAATAAAGCAGTTTTAGTGTATAGATAATTCCCCTGCAATTTCACTGCTCAATTCACTGTCATTTAGGAGTTAAATCACTTTGTTTCTGTTTATGCAGCCCTAGCCACACCTCCCCTGGCTATGATTGACAGAGCTTGCATGAAAAAAAAAAACTGGTTTCACTTTCAAACAGATGTAATTTACCTTAAATAATTGTATCTCAATCTCTAAATTGAACTTTAATCACATACAGGAGGCTCTTGCAGGGTCTAGCAAGCTATTAACATAGTAGGGGATAAGAAAATCTTAATTAAACAGAACTTGCAATAAAGAAAGCCTAAATAGGGCTCTCTTTACAGGAAGTGTTTGTGGAAGGCTGTGCAAGTCACATGCAGGGAGGTGTGACTAGGGTTCCTAAACAAAGGGATTTAACTCCTAAATGGCAGAGGATTGAGCAGTGAGGCTGCAGGGGCATGTTCTATACACCAAAACTGCTTCATTAAGCTAAAGTTGTTCAGGTGACTATAGTGTCCCTTTAAACAGTTGAACTAGTTAACTCCTGAAGGTAATACAGTGTCCAAATGCTCCTGTTCCCATAACAAGTTTAATGAGTTTGAGCTATTTATTTATTTTATTATAAATAAACCAGAGTAGTGTTAATAACAATTAGGTCTATTTGGTCAATAATCCTTATATCAAGATGGACTTTCACCTGCTCACCAGTTTCCATTAAATCATTGCCTGGCACATGCTGTATTTTTGGCTGGCAGACAATTTATGTGAGGCGCTGTTAACCCAATGGTTACCCAGCCCTGCCTGCCATCCCACAAAAACAGTCCCTCAAGGACCAGAGCATTGGATTCCACCCTGTATAATGCGTATTTTTTCCTACTTAATCAGTTGAACTGGAAATTCTATTTATTATTTAATTTGCTTATGTGCTTTTACCTCTAAAAGAATGCAATGAGTCCCTTGTCGGGAAAAACATCAGAATCTGCCCTTCAAGTCATATTTCAATAATTTATTTTATATACTAAAAACAACATTCAGATCTGCTTTTAGAGTGGGTTGGTTCACAGAATATATACAGGCATACCCCGCTTTTAAGTACACAATGGGACCAGAGCATGAATGTAAAACGAAAATGTATTTAAAGTAATGCAATACCTTTTTTAACTTCCCAATGCATGTACTGCATTGCAATACTAATTTACAGGCATAACTGATACTGCAACTGCAGATTTCCAGTGATTTATTTAGTGATTTCCAATGGGCTTTTATTCAGTTAAAACAAACAGTAAAAAAAAAAAATCTCATTCCAGATTGTGCCATTTATCTTTATTGTTTTACTCATCTGACAACCTTAAACTGGGCAGAAAAGTAAAATAAACCTGCCCACTGGACCATTTTCTGTCAATACGGTGACCATTTGTATTTGTTAGCAGCTTAGTTGCACACTTTATTTAGAAACACCTCTTCATCACTTTAAGCATTTGTGGTTTAACTTTGAATCCTCAAGATTATGGCTATTGCAGCCAAGCTGCTAAGTCATAGTTAATGATGTCGCCGATTGCAGAATATGGACAATGTAGGGACAGAAAATTAAAAAAAAAAAAAATATATATATATATATATATATATATATATATATATATATAATTTGTGTTTGGGGCATTCTCATATGATATAGAATAAGATGGGTTGTAGAGATGTAGCTTTAGGAATAATCGGTTGAGGTGTGCCAAAACCGACGTATGCTGTAGGCTGCTAAAAAGTGGACAAAAAGAGACATATTAATGCAAAACATTATACAGGATCATAGTGCATTTGTTAACCATCAGGTAGACATTTTAATGAAAGCTAATTCCTGAATCGGCTGTGGTATGTAAGTCGCATAAGCCTATGATTCCCAGCGGCCCCGTGTCTTAACGTGCGTGGGGATGTCTTGGCTATAGGCCGTGGAGGCTGCTCCTATCCTAAAGGAGTGCCCTGAGTAGTCGCTAGGGTTTAGTTCGAGCCTGGTGAATGAGTAGGTGGACATAGTGCATGAACTTACCTGTGGTAAGGACAGTATCGTACAGCGACCGTAATGGTTCAGTGGTGCATATGGTGGCGTGCCCAAGAATGTAACCAGTACCTTAACCGGGCACCCAGCATTGCTTGTAAGGTAGTTGGTTATATGCACTGGCTCGCCCATCTGACTCGTCTTAGTTTTAGGAAGGGAACGGACATAGTGTCTAGGGACAGCCCTTGATCATCATGCGTGAGTGTGGAAAAAGCAAAGTGGTCTTAGATGAAGGCGCGGCCTGCGGTATGATGCACATGGCAAAATTTAAGGAACCTTGTAGGGATTGTAGTTCCATGCGGTTGCACGTACCAAGCAGGAGGTGGTAATTGGTGTTGTTGCGACTGTTCCTATTTCTCACGTGGTAACTTGTTGGCATGGATGCCGAGTCAAGTTGTATTCCCAGGAATGTAACGATAGTGTTTGGGTCTTCTGTGACCTTAGGGAATACTGGGACACCCAAGTGTTCAGACATACTAATGGCTTCCTTGAAGCTTCTAGAGGGAAAGGCGTTCCCTTTGACCAACAAGAAATCATCTCGGGAGTGTATGACTGTGGGGCATCTGGATATGTTTAACCACAACCAGCAAAGAGTTCAACGAATATATTGAAGATTGTGGGCTGCTCTTGACCCGAAAGTTAAGCGGGAGAAGAAATATATAACTGCTTCCCATAAATGCCCTGTAAGTGCCAGTGTAGGGTGGATGGTGGCAGTCTAAAATGCGTTTGTGTTATCAGTTTTACTTAACCAGGCTTCCCCCCCCCCGCTTGAGTGATAGTTGTAATGGTATGAACAATGGTGGCATACTGTAATGAAAACTTCTCAGAGGGTATGAGGGAGTTGAGACTTGGGGTAGCCGAGGCGTGAGGTGCAGATAAGTCTATGATCAGTTACAGTGTGAGGGAAGATTCCCTGTGACAATCCCAATGGGATTGCGCCACGCTGTAAATGGTGTAGATCGGAGAGGCACAGGTAGAAATCTTTCTGCCATTTCTTGGGCCATGAGTGTAATGCCAGCTGTTGGATGCTGCTGTGATGACTGCAAGTTAGGGCATTCTAGATTCCCCCAAAAGTATATGGCAATACCTGTACGGAAGGCCTTTAAAATTCGGAGATTAGGAAATCAACTAAATGTCTGGAAGGGTGATGAGCTAGAAAGTACTGGAAATGCATAATGTTTACAGACGTGAAGTAAGGTTCAGGGTACATTTATTGGGACACATGGTTTTTGCATGTGCCCTGACATATTGAGAACATATCTGCAACAGTCTGCATGCACTGAAACTACATGTGCCAACATGGAAATTGTTGCCAATCTGGGATTTGCCAAAGAGAATGAGACGACCCAATTTGTCTCTGGTAGTTCTCTACGTACTACCAGAGGTGCTAGAGCCTGGAGCCTGAAACGTGATCGTCCGCTGTGTTGGGACAAAATTGTAGTGTGGGACTAGCAACATCTTCTCCAAGTGAAAGTGTGTTGACTCTAGCTGGAGTGTTAGGTAGAGAGAAATCCTTACCACCTGCTTGATACATACTAAAAAATATGAAGATAGCCATTATTATATGAACCCACAGTGTGCTAGTACTGGCTTGCTAACTAAAGCCGCATGGTGAAACAATTAATCCTTTGTTTGGTGACAGGTGAGGCCCTGCTAGTTGCCAAGTGGCTTTAGAGGCTCTATCTATGCAATGGCGCGAGGGGATTTTTGTGGCCACCAAATGTATTGGTAGGATGTTGGCCTCTCGGTGACTGTAACCAGAAAAAAGGGGAAGGGAGTGACAGGTGAGGCCCTCTATATATACCATGCGAGGCGGCTAGCTCACAAGTGGCCCGATGGGTGTTTGCCTCCGAGCATTGAGGTGGGGTGTTGGCCTTGCGGGACCACTTTACGACAGGCGTAGATGCCAAGAAAGGAGAATACCTATTGGAAACCTATAGTCCCTAATTGCCGGTACGCTAAGGCTATACCCAGGGGGAAACAGAAAATGTATGTATATACCACATGAGCAGGTGTATGTACCTGGTAGTATGATTAGATACCCTTACTGGTCGTTAGGGTTATTGATACCTGTATCCCGGATGTTAAAAGAATGTATGAAAATTGAATATAGACATTTAAAAGCGTATACCCATATGTGTGTTATGCAAGTTTAATAGAGCAAAGTGCTCCGTCCCAATGTTTATTGAATGCTTGTAATGCCCCTGTTTGAAGGAAATTAACTTGTCGGGAGTGTTATATCATGTGTGATATGGAATACAACTGTACCCCGAAACATGAGTGTAGTGAACCATAACTGGCAGCTGAATAACCTAATATGTGAAAATACGTTAGAAGGACTTATATTTTAAGCATGGAAACATGCAAATATTCCGTATTAGACTCTGGAATCCTGCATAGTGCTTTAAATAGTATGTGCATTCTTGGGTAATTGTCAGTAAATGTAACTAAATGCATATGTAGGCAGGTATGCAGGAATGATTATATCATAGCAAGCATGAGTTGTAAGGAAGTGTTATTGTGTAATTATAATGGGAATGTTATGAGGGGAATAACCAAATGTCTGAAAAGCCTGCAGTATACCGTTTGACAGATAGGAGTCAGTATAAAAGCAAAAACGCTGTAGTTAGTCTGTTTGCTTATGAAGTGAAATAAAGTCTGAGAAGCCTGTAGTATACGATTGATCGGTAGGGGTCAGCATGTAGGCGAAAATGCCGTGGTTCGTTGGTTTGTACATGAAATGCGATAATGTCTAAGAAGCCTGTAGTACACCAAAAGACCGGTAGGGGTCAGTGTGTAGGCGAAAATGCAGTGGTTCGTTGGTTAGTACATGAAATGCAATAATGTCTGAGAAGCCTGTAGTACACCGAATGACCGGTAGGAGTCAGTGTGTAGGTGAAAATGCAGTGGTTCGTTGATTTGTACATGAAATGCGATAATGTCTAAGAAGCCTGTAGTATACCAAAAGACCGGTAGGGGTCAGTGTATAGGCGAAAAATTGTAATTCGTTTGTAGTTTTAACCGAACAGATTTTAACCCAACAGATTGTAACCAAAACAGATTTTATACAACAGATTTTACATGAACAGCTATGTGAGTATAAGGTAACGAAATAACCGTGCAAAACGAAAGGAAACCGTAATGTTAGGACCCGTGCTGTGCTGAACGCCGTGAGAACTAATTCTGGTGCGACAGGTGGGTCAACTTATGGTTTGAGAGTCCCTGAAACACCAAATGTAAAGCTGACCGGAGAGAAAGCCACTAGATTAACGGAAAGCCCTGCTGCATGATTCCTGGACACAGCTTTGAGTAGGAGACCTCATTGAGCAAAGGTGAAACCAAAATGGCGTCTTGTATGACCTGGAAGTGGATCTCATGCAAATGCTGACCTCGAACAGTCTAGTCGTCTGACCAACAAAGGTAAGTATGGGAGTCCCTTTTATAGGTCTATAGTCCCTCCCACAACTTCAGGTCATGCCTTCCTCTATATATATATATATATATATATATATATATATATATATATATATATATATATATATATATATATATATATATATATATATATATATATATTTTGCTTGACAAGCACCGGGCAAATATATTCTTGGTATATGGAGTGCAGGATTATTTTTCTTATTTTTTTTTATATATATATATATATATATATATTCAGCTAGGTGAAGCATTATAAATTTGAGAAGATTAACCTGTGCCATGTCAGAAGGTGTGAAAAGTTCTTGCCCCAAAAACACTGAACTGAGCTGCTCCGGGCGAGAATAGAACCTTCCATTTCCTGTTCACTCGCGCACAAAAGAGGCACGGGAATGTCTGTACTCGCGAGGCACCTTTACGTACACTCGCGGGTATGTCTGTACTCGCGAGTGTACTTAAAGTGAGTGTATTTAAAGCGGGGTATGCCTGTAAAGAACTTGTGGACTTACCTTAGACATTCTATGACCTGTCAAGTGTTTCTCGTATGGAATGTTTATGACATTTTAATATTTTGAAAATATTTTTATTAATTTAAATTTGTAGGAGGAATCACAGACACAAAAAGGGAAATGGGGGTAAATCAAAGCAAATTGCAACATTAAGTAAAATATTAAATACATCAAAAATGAACATAAATTCCTCTCCTAAATATTTAGACACATCCAGTGAAAGGGTTTTGAACGAGGAAAAATATAGTTTTTAAATGAGATCATGGGGACTTGATTAGTTTGGGAGATCTGCTTAACAATACTACACAGTTCATATCTGACTCGTCAAAGAAGAAATGAAACCTTATCTGGTAGTTGTGCAGTCCTTGACGTTCCGCATGGAGGGATAGTAGTTAAAGAGCTTTAGTGTGTAATCTTCGGCAGAAGTGCTAGGTTATTATCCACTAGGCATAAGGGTGAAGGAAAGGACGACAGGTGTGATAATTTGTAGCAAGGGTATTCAAAAGGTTTACAGGGTTTTCAGTAAAGTGGCAATTTTTGGAAAAACAAATAGAATTTCACAATTTAAAGGCCAATATACCTAGCCTGGAATCAAAGTCGATATATTATCAATTTGGCAACTGTGGCTTTAAATTTAGAAATTCACTCGGAATTTGTTGCAATTCTCATTTTAGCGAATATCCCTGTTCGAGTGTTTTAGATGCAACGTTAATGGGAGTGCAGTAAGTGGGGGCTCTGGGATAGTGTATGATCTATTACAGGGCTAGGCAGCCTTTGGCAATCCAGATGTAATGCTCTTCCAGCTATAATACTGGCAAAGCATCAAGGGAGATGTAGTCCACAGCATCTGGAGTGCCGAGAGTACATACAACTTTTTGGGATAGAATTGCTATACATCTGCTTTATTGCAGCAAGAATGGAAAAAAACAGCAGATGGGGTATGGGCATGAGAAAATGGGAGGTTTTATTTTTAATTTGCATACAAAAACAATCAAAACATGAGAGGTGAACACATTAAAGGGTCACTATAGGCACATGTTGTAAAACCAGATGTGCGCTTTTAATAACAGACAACTTGTATGCCTCACCAGTGGGTTGACATTACATTAGCAACGTAATCAAAGTTAGTTGTGTGAAATCGCTCAGTTTAGCTACCTGTGAAGACATTTTTTTTAAAAAAATGGCATGTACCATAGAGCAAAGGCATAGTTGAAATAAAATAAAAAATCCACATACTGCTAACAAAAAAAGAAAACAGTTCCTCTTATGCAAGATCCTCTTTTGAAATGTAAAGATTTAGCTTGCTCTCCTGGAGAAGGTTGTCTTTGGATCGAATATGTTTTTGGGCATCCTGAGTGCTAATTACTGGGGCAGATGTAGGGACTACAGGTGGAGGGAGGACACCTAAAAAGTACACACTAAAGAGTGTCCAGTCTCCTAGGCCCATCCCCAAGACCTCTTTTATCTCACTGTTATCACTGTAGACAAGGGCTCTCCCATTAAGATTGTGCGACTTTATTAGGTCTCGATACCGCGTAAGATTCTTATCCGCAAAACCAAGCTTCTTCATCTAAAAGAGAAGAAAAAATGTTAGAATATTCGTTCAAAAACAATAAGGATTCAATAGGATATGCATTAATGCTCTTTAAAATGCATGTTTGGATCCAAAGGAAGGATATGATAAAGGATCAAGAGAGCAGTGGGTTGAAATAGGTCTAAATGAGCATACTGTTTAGATTATATCTGAAAGTTACAGAATGGGAGTTAGCCTGTGACAAAAACAAACATAGCTCTGTACTCCTTTAGAACGGAGGCAATTGTACAGGTTCTGAATCAAAATAAAACTGTTCAACCGTAATTCACCTCTTCATATTAAGTGAACCCAAACTTGTACATATTTTTGTTCAGGAGAAACAGGGCTTTCATTTCACATCAAATATTCATATATGAAACAACTTAATATGAATTAAAAAAAATAAAATAAATGAAAAAGTGTGAGAAAGTAAGACATTGTTCTACATGGCATTTTAACTGTGAATGTCAATACTGTTAGATTGTACTGCAATCAAACATATGTGTTCAGCAATGTCTCACAAATATGATGGTACCCCCCATGTACAGGTTTTATGGGGGGTTTAAAAAGTTACAGGGTCATATCTAGGACTTTCCCCTTTTCAGTTTTTGCGCATTGAAATTTATAGAAATATATGAATATCTATGTGAAGCAGACAATTGCAGTAGGAAATGCAAGTTTTTCAAAAGAAGAAACAGCAAAACCATTAAAATATATAACCTGAATGCTCTATTGGTTAAACATTTTTCCAGGATACAGGTCAATATTAAAATCAAATATTGGTGGTCAGATCCAGACGACCATTTACCTTTGATACCATACATTCTTTAACTTAAGCAACGTTTTATAAAAAGCATAAACATGCCCTGAAAATTCCTACACACAAATAATGACACAGAGTGAGACTTACTTCTTCACAGACCTCCGATACACTCATGCTCAACAAAGACAGCATAGTTAGTCTGTTGGATTTCTTGTTCTCCCAAAGGTTGTTACTGCCTCGCAGAAGCTCCATTTTTCTCTTTATTGAATAATCTAAATTGACTGTAGAGGGCAGAAGGAAGTCAACATCTTCCACTTTGAAGTTGTCTCGTAACAGTTGGTGAAAGATCTCTGGATCTCCATCTAGTTCAAGAAGGTTCTTGAGGCTTGACTTTATAGCATCCAACTCTTCCAAAGACTTCTCAAACACTTCCCACAATGATATATTACTATATGAGCCGGATTGACTTCCTGGACTTTCAAGACACCTTCTCTGTTGTTCATCTTCAATGCACTGCAGAACCCAGCTCAAACGACATGGCCATTGAGTTACCAAAATAACCCATTTGGCTACCTTCTGAGGATTTATCACATTTCTTGGTACCTTCCTGATCATCAGCCTGATAGTGATTGTGATGGAATTTACAACCCGTCGTATATGAACAACATTATCAGTTAAGTATTCCTTCATGCTCTCATCAAAGAGGTGTTGGAAAGCTTCCTCTATTAAGGCTTTGGTCTTTGGGCCTTTGTCAGCCAATGAGCTGTTGGATGGATTTAGATCATCACAGCTCATTTCCCTTAAAGGAACATTAATGAAACCATATTCATTTTTATTGTTTGACCTGTTCCGAAGAAGTTGGTCTTTCTCATTTGGCACCACCTCAACATTTAATGGCATTTCTCCATCCTCCACGTCACTTGCTATCTCTTGTCTGTTCTCAATGATGTGTCTTAGCACATTTATTTTGGTGCAGCAATCCATTTTTGGGATGGAGAAGGGAAGTGATATAATACGATTTAGAAATTGGTAGCCATTATTGGCAATGCCCTTCAGCATCTGTGAGCTCTCTACACAATCTACGATGATGCTAGGATCCACAGCCAGGATGGAAATAAATGGTGCATTTGGGTCAGAGAGAAGAATATTCATGGCATTTAGGACACCTACTATTTTATCTGGCATGCATTTATCCAGGTTAGTGATTTCGAGGACCACTCTTATTTTCTGTCTTTGAAAGACCTCTATGAGTTGAATATAACGAGTTATGATCTTAACTTCTCTCTTGACATCATTCATGAAACCCAACTGCGAACTCATGTCTGTTCGGTTCATCTTTTGCTGCACCTTGCCTTTCTGTGTGACTACGGCATTTCTCATCACTACAATAGCTATTCTAATTGCTCCAGCTGCGGAGATGCCAACCACTGTTGCCCCAACACCTTCGGCAGCTGAAAGGAGATCCCCAGAGAGGTCACCAACTGGAAAACCAAAAATCATAATCAAAGCACCAACAGTGATACCCACTAAAATGACAAATAATGTAGCCAGCCACAATGGGATGCATAAGAACTTCTTACTAACCCACTCCTGCTGGTACATGCCATCGAAAATTTTTGTTTTCCGACCGACAGCTCTGTAGACACTAATGGGAGCTAGTCCAAAGTAATTCTCTATGCCATCGCAGAGCGTAGTGACCAGCCCGGCCCAAAGCTGGTCGCTCCCTGCAAATTCCCATGCACTAAACCGAATGACGACAAAACGGATGTTTTTCCTTTGTTTGTGCTTTTCGGTGATAACTGGATTGTGAAAAACCAGAAGGAAAAGAAGAGTAAGAAGGTCTTTTCCAGAAGTTTTTCTTGTCTTCAAGCCTGAGTTTAGGACTTCTGCCCTCTCCTTTTTCCATGATTCTTCATACAAATATGCTGTGACAACAGATAGAAAGCAACGTCACAAAATGTCATTTCAAACATTGGAAATGCTCTCATAATAAACATAAAACTCATATTAAATGGTATTGTTGTTTGCTTTTTTTTTCATTATACTTTATATGTTTTTATCTGGTGGCTTGACACATTATACCATATTATGTGACTAAAACCCCATTAAAAAAAAATAAAAATAATAATTAAATTGAGATAAGTGGCGTTAAGTACACAATTTCAAACTATGTTTTATTGTTTTTTTCTATATGCTGCTCCTGTGTTGTGTATTAGATATACTTTTTGAGACACAGTGCTTACTTTCGATCTTGTTGAGAAGGATGTCTTTTCTTCTACCCCAGGGAGCATAAAATCCTACTGTCACGGGAGTTGAGGCATTATAGAGTGCTTTAGCGAGAGAGAAGCAGTAGACATCATCTTTGGTCTGAAAACCTTTAAAATAAAATTAAAAAAAAGGTAAAATAATCAAACATTAGGGCCAACTAAGACGTAATTACTAAAATGTTAATTATTTAAGAATTACAAGTGAATTTCACATCTTAGGCCAAAAACAGCCAAACTGAAAGTAGTTTTTCACTAAAGAGCGAATTGTTGGGACACTTCAGACCCCTGTCAGCACTTTAGCAAGATGAAAATCTTTACGTGTGAAGAGTGTGTGCTCTTTTTTTCATTTTGGAAAAAGTTCAGATTTCAACAGAAATAGACAGTGTTATAAGTTAATCTTGTTACACCCCCTGGCTTTTCAAGCAGATGACAGGTCCTGTTACTTCCTGGTTTGGTTAGCTTATTTGCACTGAACTCAAGAGGCGCCAATTGTTTAGAGCACCTGACTTGAGCTGCATTAGGAAGTCTGCGATTGGACAGTCACATAAAGTCTGGGCGGCGTTAGAAGAGGAGGGCTTACAACAGCTGCAGACAAGATATCTTCAGTTTTTGCAAGCTGATTATATATATATATAATTCCAAAGGGAAAAAAGCATAATTAAATGCATGCAAGTTTTCATTTGGGGTATATCTACTAAACAGTGATTTTTATTTATTTTGTATTTGTGCATTGGAGTGTCCCTTTAAGGGCAAACTAGCTCAAATGGAAATTTCAAAGGAAAAGTCATCTATGTCTCCAGTTTTTCTACTCTGGCCTGGAGTTCCAAAATAGAGTATGCAGGTTGGGGCAGTCTATTTGTATCCTGAATCTGGCACGGAGAGAGAGGGCTAGTACTCAGGTACAGTTTCTGGGTATAGTCCCCTATCTATAATATTTAGTTACACTCATGTACTACACCATCTCTGTGTGAGTGGTTTGCATTACTGAGTGTTTCTTCCTAGCTTGTGTCATAGCAGTGCAGGGTGTGAAAAAATAATAATCAGATTGAAGCCTTTTAAAAGAAAGTGTATTAAAAGGTAAATAAACTTAATGCTGGTCTTAAAAGATCACAGCAATTGTCAAGAGCGTTAAGGGTTTTCCTTTACCAAAAAGAGGCTCCACTAATAAGGATCTGGTCTGACATCCCACAATGCCCTGCACAACAAAGGTTTATGGCAAATATCCCAGCCTTAGGAAATACTTGCTATTTCGGTCTCTCCTCCTCCATTACAATGTAAGACCTGGCTACGCCAGGACTGAACTGAATTGTGAGGACAGTTGCTAAATGTTCAACCCCTTCACGATAATTTTAAGGGAAGAACCGGCTTTATTTAAAGGAACACTATAGTGGTGAATCACTATTTAGGTGTCCGCACCCCCTTGCCTCCCTTTTGAAAAGGTATCTTAGTTACCTTTTTTTTCCAGCACCATGCCAGTCTCTGAAAAGGCAGTGTTTACATTGCTCAGCCTGCTGGGACCGACTATAGACACCAGAACTACTGCATTAAGCAGTCTGGTGACTATTGTGTCCTTTACTACCACTAGCTTGTGACCCTATTGTTAATCAGTTAAACTGAAGTCTATGCAATAGCGAGCATCCTGCTTTTCCACTACGAAAAATGTATTTGCGTGTGATACAGCTTTTACACCCAACGTTACAAGTCATGTTAAGCTTAACATCAGCATCTTGTTTATTAGGCTAGTTAGGCAAAGCCTCATTAGCCTGTCCGACCCTTTATGCAATACCAGTACACATCCCAAGCAGGGGAATCGGATGACTGCTGACAAGCTACAGCTCTACAGCTAGCAAGAGCCACCCTGCAGTCAGAAGACAACGTCCAGCTCCTTATTATGTTAAAAGTTATTGTGTTTAAATTTTTTTTTTGCTTATGTTTGACTGCAACTACCACTCTTATCTATGTGATATCAAGGTCTTATAGCGTGACGGGTTCCAGTGACCTCCTTAGACATGAATGCAAACCATGTTGTGTAGCACTCCTCACGGACTGTGAGCCTCTTGCCTAGCTGACTTTACCCATACCAGAGACAGGTTTATGCTTCTTGACTAGGTTTCTTGCGCTACCCTAACTGGGTTAAATCTTAGCATCACTCATACGTGAGACAAGACTGCTTGGCTGGACAATATTTTCAAACGCTTAAGTCTTTGCCATATTATGTACTCATTTAAAGAACCACTCAAGGCACCCAGACCACTTCAGCTTAATGAAGTGGTCTGGGTGCCAGGTCCAGTTAGGGTTAACCCTTTTTGCAGTAAACATAGCAGTTTTCACAGTGAGAAGACGCCAGCGTCCATAGGAAAGCATTGAGAAATGCTTTTCTATGGACTGACTGCGCGCGTGGCTCTTGCCGTGCATGCGCATTCATCCGATAACGTCGGAAAAAGGAGGAGAGTCCCCAGCGCCGAGGGAGCCCGTGCTGGAGAAAGGTAAGCGTTTAACCCCTTCCTACCCCTAGAGCCCAGCAGGAGGGGGGCCATGAGGGTGGGGGGGACCTATTAACACTATAGTGCCAGGAAAACGAGTTTATTTTCCTGGCACTATAGTGGTCCTTTAAGTGTATTTTGTCTATAAGTATTACTCACTGTGTGGCATAACTGTTTGATTGTTGTAACTTTAAAACAGTGCTGAAAACTCAACAACTCAAAACTTGTTACTTTCCCGTGAACAACGTGAACCTATTGTATAGCCAAATCTCATTTATGCAACGAAGCACCACAAAAATAAAGAATTTTTAAAAAAAACTTTTTTTTTTTAAATGCACGGCTTAGTTACAGGGACACTATAGGCACCCAAACCACTTCAGCTCATTGAAGTGGTCTGGGTGCATATTCTCAGGTCCCTTAACCCTGCAAAGGTAATTATTGTCGTTTTTAAGGAACTGCAATCATTTGTGGGTTAACTCCACCTCTTGTTGCTGTGTACCAGAGTGACCAGGATATCCTGCGTCACCCTATGGGGAAGTACTAACGCAAGGGCGGCCATTGCCACGCATGAGCATTAGGTCTCCCCCGCCGGCTGATGTCGGCAGGGGAGGAGCGGAGCCGGAGTGACATCAGCACTAAACTCAGGTAATTGACAGAAGAGGTTTTTAATCCCATCTGCACCACGGAGGGGGGAGTTGGGGGGAGGTGGCTAGCCATAGAGGGGCATTTTAGGGTGCTATAGTGCTAGGAAGACAACTTTGTTTTCCTGGCACTAAAGTTTACCTTTAATAAACACTACGGTAGTTTTGTGTTCCCTCGTGAAATGTCCCCAGCAACTTATCTCATTCCTGATGTTGCAATGATCTTTTTCATTCCTGATACTGATAATGCCGCAAAGCATTATATGTGGCTGGTATCTGACCTATGGCTGGGGAGTCGGATGGGCCAGTAGAGGCATGTTTCATTTACATTTATTCTATTTCTTTCTACCTGAGGCTTTGGAAGGAGGCAAGCCAATACTCGACTCACAGAGTCTCTTTTCAGACATTAGTTATCTACATTATAATAGCTTGTTCACCGTACATGTGCCAGACAGACACTTAGAGCGAATACAGCATTTGTAACAATCATGGCATCATGTATAAATATTTTTACAAAATCTATACATGTATATATTTCCTACATCAATTAAATCTTTTAAAGCAAACTGCACAACTCTCCTGGATTCAGTGTGACAGTCCCTATCCTGTTGTCCCAGTTTGTTCTCTGGGGTCCTGCTTCTTGAGACAGCAGGTGGAAATCCCCCCCATAGGCGCATCATTAACCCCTTAAGGACACATGACATGTGTGACATGTCATGATTCCCTTTTATTCCAGAAGTTTGCATGCTATGTGTAATTAACTCAGTACTTTTATAGCCAACTGGGAGCGTTTCAGAAATCCACTGTGCATACCCTGAGAGGCTGGGTCATTAAAGATGGGGAAACCCCCCAAAATATGAATATACTACACTACACAGTGCCAACACAGAGTCCAACGCATTTTACAACTTCAGCATTTTATCAGAAATTTTACTTTATTGAATGCAGCCCTGAAGAATGCATATTTTATAAGAAATCACTGATCAGACTGCACAATAGTAACCCAGTTTGTGACTATCCCATGCAAAGGGTATTTTGGGTCTATTCACTTAACGGAGAATTGTGTAAAATTGACAAAGGAATGGCAAGTTTGAATTTGAGAAATTAGCACTTTGACTATTTTAACACTTGCTTCTCTTGTCGGTTCTCTCCAATATGCAGTTTAGAGAATTAGCACTTTGACTATTTTAACACTTGCTTCTCTTGTCGGTTCTCTCCAATATGCAGTTTAGAGAATAGCCGGTGTTATTTTGTATTCCTGTAAACCATTAACCTTATATTACAATCGTGCTGAATTTTACAGACAAATACAATATTACGGCATTATTCATGTTCTAATCACATACATTATCTTAGCACATATTTGCACAGTAAACTGTAAAGATGCCAGACACATTATAACCTTTGAGAACAGAGTGCTAGATTTTTCAGGAACTTAGCAATAAAGGCGGCTGCAAACAAGCATTAATAACAGCTAGCCAATCTGTTCCCTTCTGCGTCCACCAATGTTGACCACATTCTATTTTGAAGACATGTTCTATTTAAAAGGTTACTTCCAAATTTAGCTGTACCGAAAACTACACATTTATTCATTAAAACGTGAATGATAAACTGAAATTGTACTTTAAAAAATAAAATAAAAATATTATAAATTTGTTATTCAGTTTTTACAATGTTAAACCACCCACTTTCAGTAAATAAACCCTTTAGATCAGTGGTTCCCAACCCAGTCATCAACTACCCCCTAGCAGTCCAGGATTTAGGGATTACCCAGTTGTGTCTAAGGTGTTTTAGAAAAAGATAAAAACACTTTAAAGGAATTCTCCAGTGTCAGGAAAACATATTCATTTTCCTGGTAATGCAGGTTCCTGAATTGCCCCTCTCCCACCCACCCCCCATCCCAAGTTGCTGAAGGGGTTAAAACCCCTTCAGTGACTTACTGGAGTCCCTCGGCTCTGGGTCAGGCTCTGCCTACTCTCTGCGTCGTATAACAAATTTTTCGTGTTCCATGAACATGGAAGTCCCTCTAGTAGACAGCCACTAGAGGAGGACTTAACCCTGCAATGTAAATATTGCACTTTATGAAAACTGTAATAAATACACTTGCAGGGTTAAGGGTAGTGGGACTTGGCACCCAAACCAATGGGCAAAAGTTGTCTGGGTGCCTGGAGTGTCCCTTTAACCCCTTAAGGACCAAACTTCTGGAATAAAAGGGAATCATGACATGTCACACATGCCATGTGTCCTTAAGGGGTTAAACACAACAGGGTGATCCCTAAATCCTGGACTAATAGGGGCTTGAGGATTGGGTTGGGAACCCCTGCTTTAGACGCATCTTGAAGCAATATGATGTCTCCTGCATGGTTCACTAACCAGACTATTGGGGTGACCTGATCACCAAACTCCCAAATTTATGCAAAGCTGGTAAAATTAATTAAATCTGATATTTTCAAATCTTGGCTAATTTAGGATAAATTTTGCAATATCTTGTTCAGTTCATCACAATTGACTATTTGGCAAAGATTGCGCTTATTTTATAGAGTGGTTTAATCCTTCACCTGCGGTTTAAAATCAGTACGTTTTTTTTTTGTCTTAACTTTAATTGTCTGATTTCCCCCATTTGGTTCTTCTCTTTCAAAAAGTCTGTCTAATCCCTGCTCTTTCATAAAACGACACCTGAGATTACCCAAACTCTGCCACATTTGGATTTAGTGAAACTAACGCTGTCAGATCCACCATGTGTTAATGGACAGCTAGCTATGGTATCATATATATATTGATGGGCAGGTCATGAAAAGTGCTATACCATACTATATATAGACTCCAAATGCTGGAGGTAGAAAATTAAGTGATTATACAACAGGCTGGATTCAATTTAAGACAAGTTGATTTAAATCATGTTTGTTTGTTTTTTTAAATTTATAGACTCTGCTGGATGTTATAATGTTTAATATTTGTAACCAGATTTCATATTTATAATAATAACTTTTCAGATTAGTTTAACAGTTATACCAGAACTTATTTTGTTAGAAAACATTAGAAATACATACTATAGACAGATAATGATGAGATAATTGCAAGGTGAACAATCTCCAGTTCGTTAGATTAATCACTCATGTTCAGGGAAGAACTATTAAAGGTGTGTCCATGATAAATGGGATTAATTTACCAAAAATATAAATATTGCACATATATACAACCTCATGGTACATAGCTAATCAATATTTCATGCTGAACAAATTTTGGACTATAATTTATCTTGAATAGGAAACTATAATTCAAAAGCATTTTATTAAAATAAATCTGATTTAAGGTAAAAAAAAAAAAAAATAAGAAAAAAATTCTATTTTTCTGTTTTTTAAATCATCTATTTTTATCCAGCCTGTAAGTCAAGTAAGGAATCCTGCCTCAGATAAATTCTACATACTTGTCATGTGCTGTCCATCAACACTATAAAATGATGTGTATCCAGGAAAACTTGTAGATAAGGCAATTCTATAGGGATAATTCTTCAAAGTCAGTGTTTTGGTTGCTCCCATTTTTACCACTAGCATTTATCACCTCTCTCCTTTTTGGGGTCTGGCCTTTTTTTGTCCTCCCACTTACTGGCCCGGGTTTCCCTCTGGTCCTTTGAGCTTTCTCCTCTGTCCCATACTTTAAAAACTCAAAGTGCATATTGCATTTGATTATTACTATCTCTGAGGCACCCCTGGTTAATCCCTTGCATGGAACGATTGAACATGCAGCTTGAAAACTTCACATTTGTAGTTTTTGAAAGACCTGGAGAAGATGCACTAGTGCTTTTTGTGTTGTCCCTCTTGCAGAGCTGCAGATGAACTCAGACAATGGTAAAAAATAACCAACAAACAAAATGCTAAATAAGATACAGAGGCTCGAACGAGTCTAGTATCTTATGCCAGCTGGACAGCACCAGGACTATCAAGGTTCTAACTCTCCTTCTTTACTTAGAACAACACAAAAATCAAGATGCTCCTTCTGGAGTTAGAAGAACTTGTCTGGTGTTTGTTTGGTGTTGAATGGTAAAAAATAAAACTATTAAAAAAGAGAAAAAAGTGGAATGGATGTCCTGTCCGTTCCCCGGACTTCTGTTGTCTACATTTGGTATATTTCAAGGGATTGGTATTCAACCAGGTTTGTGTAGCACCACAATGTGTATCTTTTTAGGAAAAGGTGTGTGCTGTTCCAGTTGTGTATTTTGAAGCTCCAATAGCCTCGTCCTAGGTCATGACGATATTTGAAGAAAACTCTAGCATTATCTGTATATCATGCATATAGCTTCGCCCCCCCCCCCCAGGTGATTTTTAGCATTTTGATCTCGATTCCATGTTGGAACAAGAAATCAGATGAAGCTACCTACAATTCCCAGTTTAGTAAATAGCTCCACGAACAAGTCTATCATTGCAAAAAGTATGAATAACCATCTTTTTCTCTGTATCTCCAGTCCTATCTGTCATAACTGCTAATGTTTAAAGGGACACTATAGGCACCCAGACCACTTCATCTCATTGAAGTGGTCTTGGTGCAGTGTCCCTGTCTCCTGTTTAGAGAAACTGCAATGTTTACATGGCATGGTTAAGACTGCCTCTAGTGGCTGACTGCCAGACATCCACTAGAGGCGCTTCCTGCAGTTTCATGGAGTTTAAATCACGTTGGACGTCCTTACGCTTTGCATGAGGACCGTCATCGCCTTGTATTCAATTCTTTCCTATGGCGGAAGGCCTAATGTGCAATGGGGATAGAGCTAGCGCTGATGGACCTAGATACTGGAATTAGGTAAGTGTTTAAAGGGGTTATAAACCTTCATTTTCCTGTCGTGAGGGGGGAGGGGAGTTGTGAGGGCTTTGTATTCCAGCTTGGTATTTCTAACATTCTAGTATTCCTTTAACACTTTACTTTGTATATGTTTTGAGTATGTGACTTCATTAAATTGTTTGTGAATTCCACAATATAATTCATATCTGAAAAAATACATTCTCAACGAATAAAATAACAGATTTCCCAACCGAGTGCCAACTGCCTCTATTGGTTGGATAATGGAAAGATGTTCTGGTGAAGTCAACACACTATTACAATGTACGAACTTTGAGCACTGCTAAGTGAGAAACTCCATGCAACGTTGTACGTTCAAAGATCCATGAAAGTTTTTACCTAAAAATAAGTTTGCTTTTATTAAAGAATTAGAACAGAATCACAGAATCAGGGATATATCTATCATAACCCCAAATCTGATTATAAACTAAACCTCATATGTAATACCCTAAGCCCAGAGAAGGATTAATACTATAGGGATGGTGAATGGAGCTTGACCAAGTTTCTTCTCCATCTGGGCCATAGGCAGCTGCCTTAGGTTATCTAATGTCTTATGCCTAACCATTATAAAGCATGCACTTCCTTAACAAAATCCCTATTGTAACGTTAACACTAAAAGCCATAACTTGTGATGTTGTGATGCACATCCTAACTGTCCCAATGTCCCTAGCTTTACTTACGTTGCAGGTTCCTGCTGTCCTCTTCAGCCATTGTGAGTGCAAGTTAATGTGAGATCATATTACTGATCTCCGTGGGTAACACCTTGAGTTTAACACCATTATAAATTAAATATACGTGAAAATGATGGGTAATTAGACTACAGCAGTGACGATGGCTCCTGGCAACTGAAGGACCAGGAGCAGAAGAGGACTGGTAGGGAGACGACGATGGCGGCACCTGTGAGAAGCAGTTTAAATCACGTAAAACTCACATTTGCCTGCCCTCCCCTGGCCAACGGACTCTCAGTGGCGATGTCATCATCGGGGCTCTTTGAAAATTATGCAAAGTCCCCAGATGGTGACAAATCCGCTTAAAAAAAAAAAAGATGCATGCTTAGCGATCGCCAGTCAAGTTCAGCGTCAACATGCCAAGTGTTAAGACCTTTGAAAATTGAAGGATGTAACAAGGAAGTGCCTCTAGTCTCTGACTAGGCACTAGAGCTGTGTTTTCAGACAATTGTAAACATTGCTGTTTTTTCAGAAATGCCAATGTTTTACAACGTCTCTGCACCAAAACCACCTCATTAAGGAAATATTTCTAGATATAAAAACAGGCAGATTTAGAAGAAGTATAAAAATAATAAAGATGCAGCATTTTCCGCCTATATATCAGATATTCGTAAAAGATTGTAATGGTAAATAAGTTGAATAACAGCTGTTTGATCTGAGGAGAAACATGATTGCAATTATTGAGTGAAAATCATATAATTATTTCTTTGCAATCCTTTGGATTAATAATGGAAACAGACTTGAAAAAGTTTGAACTTGCTGGGCTTTTTAAAAGACCATATTACTATGTTGTAAGTGCAGTTAAATGGGAGCTCTAACTCGGGGTAAAAACTATTCACCACCTCAGGGACTGGCAATAGACATGTCATGCAACTCCCATCATCCTCAGCCACTCAGCAGTGAGTAGGGAGACATTTGGCTAGAGAGTTTACATTACAGACGGGAGGGATGAAGGGAGGGAGGGGCAGGTAATTACTAGATAAGATTTCAGCTCTGTGTTCTAATAAACTTTGTATCAGAGGGCTCAGAGTGGGGGACTGACAGAGAAAGGTGGGGACTGAGGAAGGGGGGGCTATAACAAGCAGGAGAGGTAGGTAGGTGGAGGCTCAGCATGAAAGGAGAAGGATACTTACCTGGACACACCATGTCACCATCAGTTCGCTAGCAGGGGCCTTTCACCTGTGGGGAGGATCACATTATGTCTTGGTTAATGACACCTCTGCACAATATAAGGACTTTGAAATTCTACAGTATGTCTCCCTCCCCTCCCCATGCCCTTTCCTCCTCCCCACTTGCTTTCTGTTCCATTCTGTCACTCCTCTCCAGGTGTTACAGTTGCCTGTCCATAGTAACCTTTCTATGTCCTGCACAAACACAATGCAGCTCACCTGAACCAAGCACTCTGTTACACTCTGCTCCTCCACATAGCTGGTCACTACATTCTCCATGCTCATCCAGCCTCTGTAGAGGAGCATTATGGGAAATGTAGTTCCCAAATACTTGGAGTGCCAAGCTTAGCCATCACTGCTAGGAATATTGCACAATATACAGATGGTAGGGGCTATGAGGGATGTATGCAGTAAGATACCCACAGATAAATAATGCTCATATTTGTGTACTCTATTTAGCGTTTTAATATGTTATTTTGATGCAATATTCTGTTAGTCTAGGTAACACTCTCCTAGGGTCTTTGCGGGCTGAAGCCCCAGATGTGGGACACTTTATTCCAGGTCTCTACAGTTGGTGGAGATGGCAGAAGGATGTAAGTGTTTTTATTTTTTTGTTATTAAGCTCAGTATTACATCAAGATATTACAAAAAGAAAGATCAATAGTAAATGCTCCATCGGGCTACATAAGGGGTGTCCCAAGGTGACAGTCATGAGAGGGTGCGGGAGAAAATAGCTTTTGTGCCCACTCCTCTGTTAGTATAAGAGCCATCAAGTTTTTTGGGGGGCTTAAGCCCTTGATGTTTCTGGAACCTAGCCACGCATTTGTTATGTACCAATGGGAACCCCAAACACTGCTCTCTGCTCCTTGGACTACCTAGGGGCTTTGCAGACCTGTTTTTTTATTACTGATCTGTCAACACCTGGTAACAAATTCAGATGAATCCTCCATTTTTAGGGAAATATAGTGCCAGAAGGAGATCTTGCTGAAGAGGAGTATCACTTGCTGGAATTTAATGACTCACTGTGGAGTATATGCAACATTCCTGAACCGTGCTTGCAGGTCATATAAAAGTTATTGTTTCATAAACACTAGTGTGACAATTATAATGATGATCACTGTCAAACATTTAAATAAGAACAACTTTGAATGTCTTCCAGGACGTAAGGTTTTTATTCTGATTTATTCAAATGAGCGGTGGGAGGGGGCCCTAAATGACAATGGGGAGGGACGGGTGGGGGCTAAGTGTAAACCCCACCCGCCACTCATTGGTGGAGGCCAGACAATAGGTCCCCCCATTGTCATTTATGACCCCCACCCGCCACTCATTGGTGGGGGCCAGACAATAGGTCCCCCCATTGTCATTTAGGACCCCCACCCGCCACTCATTGGTGGGGGCCGGACAATAGGTCCCCCCCATTTTCATTTAGGGCACCTGCCACTCATGGGTGGGGGCCGGACAATAGGTCCCCCCTCCATTTTCATTTAGGGCCCCCACCCGCCACTCATGGGTAGGGGCCGGCAGAGGGACAATAGGCCCCCCCATTTTAATTTAGGGCCCCCAGCCGCCGTTCAGTTTAATAGACCCCAGCCGCGCGGCATGGGTGAGGATTGGGAGGGGGACACTAGGGGGCTTTTTTTTTTTTTTTTAACAGTGAGCAGTGATAGGCTGCTTACTGTTTAATAGACATGCCCCTGCTTGCGGTATAGCAAGTAGGGGCAGAATTTACTAATACTAAGTAATCTTTACTTAGTATTAGTAAATGTGGCTGAAAGACCAATTTAGGTCTTTCAGCCTTTTGGTAGACAGCCCCCTAATACCGTAGGAATTAGAGAACTATTTACTAAGCGGCTGCAAGATGCAGCCGCAGCGCGAATAGCTCAGAATTTCATTCTTTCTAATGAAATTCCGATGTGAACAAAGTCCCAAATTGCGTCCTAACACAAATGGAGAAACTGAAATTCGGTAGTTTCGCCGGCGTTCTGTTTAAGTGACAGGATGTTCGGGAATACTGACATTAAGCATCGCAAGATCACGGAGGAAAGGTAAGAATTGTGGTAAAATATCTCAACCACAGGAAACGGAGCACACGTTGCTCCTCCGCTGGTCAGAGATGGTCAGGCGTAGGAAACCTCCATAAGACAAAATAGTCCCTACTTTATCTTATGTTTTAAAGAAAACTAGAGCAGACAGGAAGAAATGAAGAACAGATCCTGACAGAGGGCTTAAAATGCAACAAACCCTGCACATTTGATTTTTTTCTTACCTTTAAATCACTATTTACAAAATCCTCTCTTAGGTTCCTGCAGATTCCTACTCATACAGCTTTAACTAAACTAAGAATGGACTTTAATGCGATATAATTCCAGGCAGTCCCACGCTACAAATAATCTCATTTGTACTCAGGGAGGTTTTATTATTGTAAGATATCTCACCCACTGAGGGCAACCTTGTTACTGGAATGCATTTCTGATGAGTCTCTCTCATTGATATGCTCTGCCATATAAATGGACAGCAGGCTCTCTCATTGAAGGGCAGCCTCTTCTATTATAGTGCAGTCTAAATTGTCCCTACAGCTGAACAGTTTCAAATATATTGATATGCAAACTCCCTTCTCTGTACACACATAATGCTCATTATCGATCAGTCTGTCTGTCTGTCTGTCTACCCACCCATTCAGAACAAAAATACTTAGCGAATAGGTGTATGCAGCATTTTTAGCCTCTTAATATATAGATTATGTTGTAGAAAAATGTGTGTCGGTAAAATGTACATCAACAACCTGCCATCTGATTATCACACAATATTGTTCTGGTACATAGATAGAACAGTGCATTTATATATCTTACTAACATGTACCTCAACATTCTAGGATACTTATATTTCAATGTGGTACTCACCTGTCTCTACAAGTCCCACATTCAATGCAAAGTAACAGGAACTAACTACCTGCCTGTTTGCTGTAGGCTTATATGATATCATAGAAATGAAACAGAGAGTATAGTTAAGTCAACATGGGCCCGGCCTGGACTTTGACCTTGTAGACAAATAGTGTAATAAGTGGTCAAGTAATGACTGAGTAATATTTTAACAAGTGAGTGTGTAGTTATCTAGATCAGGGATAGGCAACCTTCGGCACACCAAATGTTGTGAACTACATCTCTTATAATGCTCTTACAGTCATAATACTGGCAAAGCTTCATGGGAGATGTAGTCCACAACACATGGAATGCCGTAAATTACCACGGCAACGCTCCAAATCTCGCGACAGTGAACTCTAGCAGCTTCTGAGGCTGCTAGAGTTCACTGTCACCATCAGGGCTTCCTCACGGACCACCAGGGATACGTACTGTCCTCCCTCCCAGATAAAGGTAAGCAGGGAGGGGGGACATCAAAATTGTTTTGTTTTTTTTAATTAAAAAACCCCCCATATATACAACCCATATATACATTTATCTACCCTCCTCCTCCTACCCTTCCCCCTATACAAACACTGCCCCCATATGCACACTGCCCCCATACACAGCCTCCTATACACACTGTGCCCCTCGTGCCCACACTGCCCCCATACACACACTGTGCCCACCACGTGCACACTGCTCCCCTCACACACTGCTCCCCTCATACACACACGTACCCCTCACACACACTTCCCCCATACATACATACATACACACACACACACACACACTGCCTCCATATACACATTGTACCCATCCCACACTGCCCACATACACAAACACACTGTACCCCTCAATACACATGCACTCCCCCCACACGCTGCCCCCACACACACACACTGCCTCCCACGCACACACTGTACCCCTCACGAACACAATGCACCCCACACACACACTACATCCTTCACAAACACAACGCACACCTGTGCACACACTGCACCCCCCACACACACACACAGTACACCCCTTGCATGCACACACACACATAACCCCACACACATTGCACCAAACAGGCACACACCACTGCCCCTATCCCCTACTACAGCCCATGTCTTGGCAGACACCAGGTAAGTTGTCAAACTGTTCTTAAACAGTTTGACTACTTACACTGGGAGGACACCACAGCACTCCTTGCACCATAACCACTACAGTGTGCTGTAGTGGTAATTGTGCCTGGATTGTTTCTTTAAATAATCTACAAGAGCCCCTCACCAAATTAGGTTTGGGATCCGCCCCTGACAGGGAAACATTTAATTTGGGGCACCGTGGAAAAATATTGAAACATTAAAAAGTTTGGGAACCACTCCTCTAAAGTGTCAATAGTCAGAAACTCAAAGTGAATTCATGGTAAAATTCAAATTTTAGGCAACAATAGACAAATTCATTCAGTTGGCTACATCACCATAACATTTTGGGGTGCACTTTAAATTGTTGAGAATTAACATGCTAGTAAATATCCATGTTTGATAGTATTTTGATCAAGTCATAAAACAGTGCAAAGTTGTAAAAGTTCTGTAATTAGCAATGGAATGTTCCCACTGCGTCTAACCGTTTCCATGGTGATTGCTCCACTTCCTACCACTTTCATAAATCTCCCACTATGTTGATTTTTTAAAAAATATTTCACTGCTGTCCATGACACAGGTAGTTTGGGGTTTATGGGAGTTATTGTAATAGGTGTAAGAGCTGAAAGTTGGGGGGTAGCAAGCAATATGCTCTGGACAGCAACTACCATCAGGCACAGCCACTTCAACATCACGTAGAGACTTAGAATGGAAAAGAGGAAATACCGTAAAGGGAAACCATAGCTCTCGTATGTGCTCTTTCACTCACATTGTAATCAGATAGAACAGAATAGCTGGTTATTCCGCTTGGTTAATGGCTTTACAGATTCTTGTGTTGTGTATACAGGCAGTCGAAGAATCAAGAAAAGACAAATCATTTAAAAAGCAACATTTATTGCCAAAACAGTAAAAGATTTATAAAAAAAAAAAAATATATATATATATATATATAT